AAGAGTTGGCCGACGTGCTCGCCAAACCGCTTTCCATCATTGACATGAAGTTGTGGCTGACTGGGGAGGTCCCGATGGACTGGAGCATGGCAAATGTAATACCCATCTACAAGAAAGGTAAAAAGGAGACTCCAGGAAACTATAGACCTGTCAGCCTGACCTTGATACCAGGGAAGGTCATCTTGAGTGCCATCACAAGCCACGTAATGGACAACCAGGGGATCAGGCCTAGTCAGCATGGTTTATGAAAGGCAGGTCCTGCCGGACGAACCTGATCTCCTTCTATGACAAGATGACCCGATTATTGGATGAGGGAAAGGCTGTGGATATTATCTACTTGGACTTTCAAAAAGCATTGGACACTGTTCCCCATAGAATTCTAGTGGAAAAATGAGCTGCACATGGCCTGGGCGAGCACACGATCCGCTGGGTCAAGCACTGGCTGGGTGGACGGTCCCAAAGAGCGGTGCTCAACGGGGTTAAATCCAGCTGGAGGCCGGTCCCAAGTGGTGTTCCCCAGGGTCCAGTGTTGGGACCAGTTCTGTTAAACATCTTCATTGACCATCTTGATAATGACATAGAGCGTATCATCAGTAAGTTCACAGATGACACCAAGTTAAGCAGGAGTGTTGATCTGCACGAGGGTTGGGAGGCTCTACAGAGACACTTGGGTAGGTTGGATGGATGGGCCAACATTAATGGTATGAGCTTCAACAAGACCAAGTGCCAGGTCCTGCACTTGTGCCACAACAACCCCCTGCACCGCTACGGGCTTGGGGCAGAGTGGCTGGAGCTGCCTGGCAGAAAAGGACCTGGGGGTGTTGGTCGCCTGTCGGCTGAACAGGAGCCAGCAGTGTGCCCAGGTGGCCAAGAAGGACACCAGCATCCTGGCCTGTGTCAGGACCAGCGTGGGGAGGAGGAATTGGGAGGTGATGGTCCCCCTGTCCTGGGCACTGGGGAGGCCCCACCTCAAGGGCTGGGGCCAGTTTTGGGCCCCTCACCACAAAAAAGACATTGAGGGGCTGGAGCGGGTCCAGAGAAGGGCAACGGAGCTGGGGAGGGGTCTGGAGAAGAAGTCTGATGAGGAGAGGCTGAGGGAGCTGGGGGGGTTCAACCTGGAGAGAAGGAGGCTGAGGGGAGACCTTCTGGCTCTCTCCAACTCCCTGAAAGGAGGGTGTAGCCAGGGGGGGTCGGTCTCTGCTCCCAACTCACAGGCCATGGGACAAGAGGAAACGGCCTCAAGTTGCACCAGGGGAGGTTCAGATTGGAGATTGGGAACAATTTTTCCATGGAAAGGGTTATTGCACATTGGAATGGGCTGCCCAGGGCAGGGGTTGAGGCCCCATCCCTGGAGGGATTTCAAAGCCGGGTTGCCATAGTGCTTAGAGCCATGGGTTAGTGATGGTTTTTATCAGAGTTAGGGTGATGGTTGGACTGGATGATCTGAAAGGTCCCTTCCAACCCAGACAATTGATTCTGTGATTCTAAAGTTCTAAATGAAGATCTGTGTGATAACTGAAAAGAAGCATCTTTCCCATCTGGTCACTGCTCTTTGGTTAATAAATACCCCGGCGCCGCAAATGAAAACACCTCACCTTGATAGTTCTGTCACCTGACGCTGACACAATGTACTTGTCATCAAAGTCCACTACGTTGACGGCAGCCCGGTGCCCTACTAGCACCCTCCTCAGGGTGATGTCTGTTGGTGAAGCCATGTCCCAGACGGCGATGGAACGGTCTTTGGAGCACGTCACCATCATGCCGTTGTTGAAGCGGAGGTGCAGCACCGCTTCGCAGTGGTGGATCAGCGTGTTCAGCATCTCGCCCGCGTTCACATCCCACACCCTACAGGTTCAAATTTAAAAGCAGAGAAAGGAGAGTTAAAAAAACTATACGGTGGATTTTCTGCAAAGTGAGAGAGGGACAGGGAGAGGTAATGGATTCTCTAGCAATATTAGAGAAGCAGACACCAGGAGTTATATCTACGGCTATTAAATAGTTCATCACCAGATGTATTATATAAACCTGTTGATTATATTGCATACGCTGAGGCAGTCCAGCAGCCAAAAAGCCTGCAATGCAGTTCAACACCACAAAAATAACCCAGGCAGGAAAAATGTGTTCTTTAATTAAGGGAATATAGAGCTAAGGAAAGGTATGAGATTGATAGCCTTAACGACTGATGTTTCCTGGTTGTGTCAGCCTCCCGCACACTCCATCACCAGTCAAGGAGTGCTTAACCATGACCTGTGGAGGAGCAAGTGCAGAGAAAGGTTTCAATTTTGACCTCTCTCACAGGATTGTCAACTCCAAGCAGAAGCAGAAGACGAGAGAAGGCTTTGCAAAGAAATGTAAGTAGTTGCCAGAAGTGGCACCATGGACTGCACTTCCCTGCAGTGCATCGGGTGCGCAGGTACATTCCAGGAACGTGCTGAACACCCACATTAAGACACAGCATTTATGTCAGTTTAATGTTAGTGGAGCCAACTGGTTCAGCTGAAAGATAATTTAAGATGAAAGTTACACAAAGGCTTCATACAGAACTTCCAGGGCTGGAAATGAAGATTTTAAGGCTTAAAAATGTTTCTTTTGGGCTATTCTGTTGGCAAACTTCTTTTACCCTCCAGAAGGAGATTTCTTTTGGCACTATCTCACCTGTATCCCAGATACAGTAGGTGACAGCAGCAAACAGCTGCATCACCAGGCACATCAACCACTGCAGACCTTAAAACCTCGCCAATAAGGCGAGCTGTTAAGAAAAGGCGTGATGTGAGAAAGACTTCTAATGTCTTATTTTCTGACTTACGGAGGCTGAAGTGCAGCAACTTTCGGACTATAAATGAAAAAGGAAACTACACTCCAATAACAAAACGTGAAGGAGAAAAACTCACAGCCTTAAAGACCTGAGCCATTAAGGCAGGAGCAGTTTGCAGACAGGGCTGCCAAACCGAGCAGGAGCTGGAGACCTACTGACTTCTTTGGACAAGTGCATCCCCGAGATCTCAGAAGCATTAAGAGCCCATCTGTACTGTCTATTGGATGAAGCCCCTCTTCCTGAGGAGACCCGAGGATAAAAGTGATGCATCCTATGTGCCCCTGGGGTCTGCACGAGCATTTAGAGATGCAGTGGGAAACAAAGTACTTCTGGGCAAGTAGCCAGTCTGCAATTTGGCCTGCCTGGCCTGCCATGGAAGATGATGGTGCTTGTTACAGGAACCAGCCTCCCTTTTGCCACCCGTTTAGCGCAGTGCAGTCCCCACACAGTCTCCAGGCAGGTGGTGTTGCCGAAATTCTGGATTCCTACTCGTGATAGGACCCCGAAATCTAATAGCAGACTGCATGCATCACGTGGCAGGAAGGAAATGTAATGGTGATTAGCTTAACAGTGGTGTTCACACACGAGCACGGTGCTAACCATGAGGAGCTTGCAGCCACAGGAACACACGCTAATAGCTTCAGAAAAGGGCACTGACACGGCTTTTTGTTGCCTGTAACTTCCCTGCATGGGCATTGTTTGTACTCTGACACGAGGAGAATACACAACAACATGGAGAAGACAGACTTGCTCCTTCCCATCCAAGTTCATACTGCAATTCACTAACTCGTATGTGCCTGGATTTACACTGCAGGTCCTGTAACATGTCTAGGGGACTTCACACCTGCACAACATGCACCACAAGTGCTGACTTGAGGTGTCCAGCCTTTTGCTGGAGACTGGAAGGAAAGCGAGGTTAGAAAGACTGAATGAAAAGAAACATCATGCTGAGATTTAATTAAAAGTCGCAGGAGATCTAGTCATACATCTTTTGTTAAAAGTAAGTGGCTGACTAAACCTTCAAACTTGCTTTGGAAACTTCAACCGACTTAAAAAAAAGTTATTCTCAGAGAGAATTTAAAACATGATCAGGGAGTATCAAAACATGCAGAACCTTGGTGGAATGCCAGATGGCCTTCCTAAGTCATCTCGACCTTGACTGGCCTTTGCTTAGGTTCTCATTTCTCCTTGACAGTCATTTGGATGGACATCTGATGAACAAGGAGAGGGTACTCCTGAACAAATACGCTGAACTACTTCACGGAATCGATCAAACAGCATACAATTAAGAAAAGATAATCTCAGCAGCCTGCAAAGCTAAAATCTTAGAGGCAAACAGAAAGCTCCAAATCACAAGCACACACCTGACCGTTGAGTCCGAAGATCCAGTAATGATCACCCGTTCATCGTACTGGAGGCACAGGACAGAACCCGTGTGTCCAGTGAGGATTCGCTTGCATTCCAACGTATTCTTATCCCAGATCTAGGATAGCAAACATTCAAAACCAGACAGCTTAGTAAGGTTTTCATCTTTCAGCACTTACTGGTTTGACTGGTCTGTTTTTTACTACAATACATCATCCTTAGTGCAGTTAGAACACCTTTAGTGGCATCTGTAGTCTTCTACAGGCTCTTTGGTGCAATTCGTTAACATCTTTGATATTACTGCCTTTACTATGAACATTGGTTTTACTCTTCTCATCAGGGTACAGGGCACAGTAATTACACAGCTTGTAATTACTGATGGGCAAAAACCTCTGCTTGTGAAGTCTGTAAGAAAACAGGGTCTCTCTTGCCAGATAAAAGCGGCGTCCACGCTGTGCAGGCGTGAGGTGGGGGAAGGAGAAGGCTAGGTTACTGAACAAGAGATTGAGCAGGCATCACTGAAATTAGGACACTATTATTTATGGCAGAGACCCTGCATGCCATTAATATGCCATTTTGGAGCATTCTCACCTTAATAGTATTGTCTCGTAGGCCACTTACTATCTTCTGATCATCATACTGTAAACAATAAACTCCTTTGCTTGTCTCGCTTCGGCAGTGGATCCTCTGTAAACTGTGCCTTCCACACCGCCAGTTTGACTCTATTGTCTTGAGGAGAGACAGGAGACAAAAGAGAAGTAAAAATAAAGCACGGAATTATCTTCCCCCTTTTTGCTTGTTTAAGAAGACAGCAGATACTTTTCTTCACACTTTTTCCTGCGATCAGGAGCAGACAATGACATACCAGCTTTCTAGAAGAAGTACTGCATGTAATAAAATCAATTAAATGGACAAAAAACTGGAAAACATATCATGGCTAAACTCGTTTGTGTTATCCGAAATGGTGAGGGAGAAGTGACTTAAAAGCATTTTTCTCTCTCCAACTTTTAAGCCCCTCTGACTCAACATCTAAACAACTGCAGAGGAAGTCTCAGCTGAGCTCCAGCTACGTGGTTGTACAAACACTTATGGCTTTTGCCACTAGGAAACTACCACAACGTGACATTTTGCTTGTACTAGAAACAAGGCAGCCCTGCTCAGTTTCTTCTTGTGTCCCTGGGTCTTAGGATTGCAGTCTTTAGAATGCACTTTCTCCCTGGCTCAGCTCCTGATACCTCCCTGGAACATCTTAATAGGTCTCATCTGCGCTGGGTGGAGCAAAGTACTGTGGAATAGAGAAAATGGAGATGGCACGGTGCTGCTGTGACATCTGAGGTGCAACGTGTAGAGACTCCATCTGCAAACAGCTCACTCAACAATCCAACCCATCCTCTGTCTAAAGAAGCAGTGAAGCCTGGGGCTTTGTGTAACTATCCCACATCTACAAACTCTGGACAAACACAGACACATCAGATTTAGTATTCTCAGAATTTCAGCATCAAGAGTAAATTGGGGACATTAAAAAAACCCAAATCACCAAAGACCATCACATCTGGAAGCTGTTTCTTACCTCTATGTCCTGTATAATTTTGGGATAAAGTGCTCTGTAGAAAGAGTTGGGTGGCGCAGTCCCATCAGGAGGTTTATTTTTAAATAGATATTGTCCCCTGGAAGACAAAGAACACTCCCATGGAACACAAATCACATTTCACCAGTTTGGAGAAAGGTCCTCCTGGCATTTTACAAATGGGTAACCACGGTGGAAAAGCTCAGATGGATTCATAGACAATCTTAACTGACTCAGTAAGACGGGGTGGTTTCTTGCTTCCCCTGCAACATGTCAGTGTTGCATTTTGACACTGAAATACTCAAGAAAAATCTGTGCCTACTCACTCAGGGAAGGGAAATACATTATCTATTACGGACATGAGTCCGTTCAAGTCAATAGGAGGTGAGAACAGCTCATGGCCACAATACACATAACCCCACCAGAGGTCACCTGCAAAATAGTGTACAAAAAAAAAAAGAAAGAAGACAAGGAACCCTCAAACTCACCACGCAGTCAAAGCTAGCTTTTATCTGCATTAGCAGGAACGGTATCAGCTTTGGTACATGGACATTTTACTGCTACTGTTATATTTTGGTAAGCAACACTTCATCTGTGGTGCCTCCCTCGTTTCAGCCCCGATTTGGAATACTCATATCCCAAGCTAGATTTTTGCTCCGAAAAAAAATCCGTAAACGGCAATCACTACCTGCTGTGTAAAAAACTTTAATTCCTCATCCTGAAGTTAAGAAGCCACCAAACACGGTGTGGAAGCTAGTAAACCCCACCATGGGCGTGCTAACTGCTGCTCTGCCTGGCAACGTGCCTCACAAAATGGAGAGAGGCACAAATGCCTCCGAGTGTAATCCTGGCATCAGAGGCAGGGAGTTTACACTGGGCCAGCTCTCCCCTTCTCCCTCCCTCGCTCCATTACGGCGTAATTAATTGTTCAATACTTTCTTGTGCGTTTCTTTTCCTGCCCTTTCCATACCTGGAAACTCATTTGAGAGGCTGTACATTAGCTGCCCCGACGTATCTGAACCAGGCAAGTCACAATGATGTACCAAAAATTTTTAGGTTATAAGGCAGTAGCAAACGATAGGAACAAACAAACAAAATAAGAAATGCTCCAGAAAGGAACTTCTGATAATTCTTTAAATAAAGTACTTTAAGTGATGGTTGGACGGGATGATCCCAAGGGTCTCTTCCAACCTGGATGATTCTCTGATTCTAAGTACGACTTGAGAGAAAGGTGCTTTCCACTTTGGAGAGAGCAATCATCTGGGTCTTCAAATACAGCGAGCAGCATCCATTCATTTAGGGACAAACACACATGGAGAAGGGACAGAGGGATGGAGGCAACCCACCAACCAGGTGGGAACCTATCTACTGTGATCCAGTCTGGAAGTGCATACAAGAAAATTAAAAATTATTGGCCCAGGGAGACCAAAAAATGCTTTGGAGAATACAGGTAGTACCTAGGGGACATCCTGGAAGACTTGAGGTAGGTCGATGAGATCTGTACAAAAGCCTGTGTGCCTGAAAAGCTGTCAACCATCTGCAGCTTTACCAGCAGACCTAACTCAAGGTCTTGTTGATACCAATAAGCCCTGCCTGGCTGCGTGTAGAGTCAGTTGTTTATTATTCAGCTAAAGGATTGCTTGGAATTTCCACGGCATCCCCGTGGCCGTTGTGTTGTGGCTCTGGGATAAAAGGAACTATTGTTTGCAGATTCTGATGACCGGCCAATTCAATCAAGTATTTGGATGGACACAAACATGGCCAGACTTTAGGCTTCTTTCTTGTATTTCTCTAAATCTATGTAACCCTTATTTGTTCCCTGACAGGCTGTGAGTGAAGGCTTCCACGCTGCGGAACGAGGTGTTCCTGCTGTAAACCATGAGCTGCAAATGCTGAAATTGGGCAGCCCATGTGCAAAGTGAGGGGCTGTCACCAAATACCACCAGTCACCTCTTATTCCAAACTGCCCAGCTCATCCCTTCCTTGTGCCACGCACTGCGTTGGGCTTCATTACAAGCTACAAAGCTCTATATGGCAGATGCAATGACACTGGATAATAGGATGCCCATGAGCCAGCAATGGGCCCTCATGGCCAAGAAGGCCAATGGCATCCTGGGGGGCATCAGGAAGAGTGTGAGCAGCAGGTGGAGAGGGGTCATCCTGCCCCTCTGCTCTGCCCTGGGGAGGCCCCATCTGGAGCACTGGGACCAGTTCTGGGCTCCCCAAGTCCAGAGGGACAGGGAACTGCTGGAGAGGGGACAGCAGAGGCTACAGAGATGATGAGGGGCCTGGAGCATCTCTCTGATGAGGAAAGGCTGAGGGACTTGGGGCTTTTGAGTCTGGAGAAGAGAAAACTGAGGGGGGAACTGATCCACGCCTATAAATACTTCAAGGGTGGGTGTCAGGAGGATGGAGCCAGTCTGTTTTCAGTGGTGCCCAGGGACAGGACAAGAGGAAATGGGCACAAACTTGGACATAAGAAGCTCCATCTGAACATGAGGAGGAACTTCTTTGCTGTGAGGGTGGCAGAGCCCTGGAAGAGGCTGCCCAGAGAGGTGGTGGAGTCTCCTTCTATGGAGACATTCAGACCCCACCTGGAGACGTTCCTGTGGGACCTGCTCTGGGTGGACCTGCTCTGGCAGGGGGTTGGACTGGATGATCTCCAGAGGTCCCTTCCAACCCCATAGCATTCTGGGACTCTGTGATTCTGTGAGTAGAGTAACTGGGGAGGGTCTAAACAGAGAAAATCAAGAATCACAAGAGGACAAGGGCACACAGGATCATGGTTGGGTAGTGCATCCAATATGTAGGAAACATGATCATCTTCCAACATGCAAAAGATTTCTGCAAAAAGGATGAGGAACTGTTTTGTGTGTCTGTGTAGGCTAAACATAATGTGTAGAACTGTAACTAGGAAGACAGCCTAGATTTCAGGAATATCTTTCTAACACTAAAATTAGTGAAACAGTGCCATTGTTCGCCCAGGCACAGCCTGGGACATCTCCATCAGTGAAGGTTTTTGAGAAGAAGTTAAAGAAACATCTGGCATAAGAGAAAACTAGCTGCACATTTGGGAAACAGGAGGAACTAAACCTCTCAAGGTCCTCTTTGGACTTACTGTGACCTCAACAATAGAGAATGATGATAGAAGTCCTGGAGAGAACAAGGCACTAAGATGGATGCAGAAGTTACCACTGTCATGCTTTGTGTTTACTTTACACTTTTTAGAAACATTACACTATTGGAAGCAGATCAACATAGTATTTATTTCTAAAGGACGTTTCATAATCCTGATTTACTAACCTTTACTTCCTGAGACAAACAGTATAACAAAATTAACCATAAAGCAGGACTCTTTGTTTGCAACTCCGTATCTTTTTCTTTTTAATAGCAACCAAAATGCCTGAGCTGTCACTTTTATCTTGTTTATGAAATATTCATACCCAGCTTCCTTTCTGCCAACATCCTAGGGACACCCTTGGAAAAGAAAATTATGTATTAAAGGACATACCCCTGAGAGGGAAAGTTCTAATGAAATGTTAACAGAGCAGCTTCAAACTTGAGTGAGACCCACATTGTAGTAAGGCTATTCCAGATGATTATTAACTAATCTATCTGCATTTCTAAAGTCCCCTATTCTCCGTGGTACCTACCCTCAGCTTCCAGTTTGAAAATTAAACAGATATCTAATAGTGAAAATCTGCTGAGGAAAACAAACAGACCTATCAGGAAACAACTAATTCATAGCACATGCTGCCCCACTGCCACCCCTAAAAAAGCTCTTGTGCTCCAAACTGCTGACTAGTTGAGTGCTCCCCTGGGGCGTACACAGCTTCTTAATTTGAACCCAATGACAGCTGGGTGTAAAAATCTCAGCCTGTGTATCTGACTTGTCACAGTGGGATAAGAGCGTGATCAGCTGAGGAAGGTGAGGAAAAAGCCCCCACGTAGCCAAAATGATGCCCTAACTCCCCAGCCCCCAAATTCTGATTTAAGCAACTGTCAGGTTTGGAACCAACGTGATGTTTCAGGGTGTTAAATAATCCTCTTCAAACAGGGTTTGAAGCACGTGGCACCTACTGTCCTGAACGGGGGCAAAAGAGGTGAAGATGCAATTCCCTCACCATCCTCTCCTCTCCGACAAGCCCCTCCAGAGGGAGTCTGTCCTGACCATCCTCTCGATGAGCTTCTTCCACAGCATCCCATCCGACGTCACCCGGTACCACTCCTTGCACACCAGCTCAGCAGCACACAACGACTTGGCATCCAGGTAGGACAGAATGTTCTCAGCAATGTGATCCAATCCCCGAGCTGGGGGAGGGAAAAGAAAAGAAAAAAAAAAAGAAAAAAAAAGGGATTATTTGCTGGGGAGACGTGGAGCTTAATACAACTCCCCTCAACGGTACAAAGATCCCCTCTCTTTCCATCTACTCCTCGGCACGCAGAGCTGGACAAAATGCACAGAAGAGCATTTGCAGCGAAGTTCAGGAGTGAAGAGCGTTCTCCAACTTCCTTTGGATATAACACAACAAGTCATTAAAAATAATAAAGAATCCAAGAAGTCATTCCAATCTATTTCGATGGGTTTTAGCACTAGGGGGATATTCTATGGATGGCATTTCCAACTCAGCGACGCAGCCCCCAAAATCTCTCTATATTAGGACCATTTCTCATCTCACTGCTACAGCTGTTCTCATGTTCCAACGGCTCAAAAGCTGTTTTTGCTAAAGCAGTAGCTTTTAAACGTAATGAAGAAAAAAATATATATTCCCAATGTGTGCCCTGAAGGGTAGTGGTACCTTTAGACATGGGGGAGGGAAGGATATGCAGATGCACAGGGAAAGTGGAGAGGGGAGGAGAGGCTGTGCAAGAAGAAAGTGAAGCAGGTTTGCTAGTTTCATTTATTTTAGCGGGTGGAGGAAAAATATGCACCAAAAATGGAACAATTTGCAACTATTTTCCAGTGTGAATCCCAAGGCTGGCTGGAGTGAGATGTAAAGCAATGGCTGGGTTAGCACCCAGCAGCCCCATGGAAAGTCTGTGTGGCTGGGGGCCAGGGCAGGTTACGCTACGTCTCTCAACTGGATGGATGCATCCAGTAAAAATACGCCCTTCCCCACTCAAATCTAAGCACCAGCAAGACCTCAGGAAAATAAGAGGCCTTTTAAATGAGATGTTGCACAACTACAGCCTCAGTCGGAGGCTGTTTAATCCACAAGTGAGACGCACCGTCGAGAGGTTATCTCACTTCACCAGGCAAACTTCAGAGCCTTTGGGAAAGATGCAGTTTAGACTCCACCAACCCTCAGGCATAATGTTGAAACCAACCAAAAAAAGGAAGCATGGCAGATTGGTATTTCATGCATCTTCCCCCTGGTTCACATTCGGGACAGAGTTAAAGACCTCTTTTCTTGCTTTTCAAACAACAGCCTCAAAGACCAGGCTTTGCTTGTGCCAGGGAAAGAAAAAGCAGCAAATGTGTTTTTACAGTCCCGTGTCCGTCCTTCTGCAGAGCCAAACCAGGCACAAGCAGCTGATTCTGAGACCCAAAAAAGGCCCAACCTTTGTTTTTGTTAACCAAAAGATCTCAGAATTATCTCCCAATGCAGGAAAACAAGAAAACTCAACGTGCCTCCTCTCACTCCTTCCAAACATCCTAAATTTATAATACATTTTGGGTGAGATGTTCTTGCCCAGCGTTTTATGCTTCCATTCCTAGGTAGGAAAAGCCTGTGAACGGTACCACGCACGACCAGCGAGTGCAGAAAGAGGCCTGACATTTCTTATCTTTATAGATGCAAAATTAGATGTCAGCCCGCAGAATAAAAGCATCAGCAGCCTTTATTATGTATTTAATCTGAAAACATATATACAGCCACTATATAAAATCCTTTAAAAAAAGAGTGTTTGTAAATTTAGATTGACTCTACAGCCACTCGTGGAAGGAGAGATACAACGTTATAGTGAAAGTAAGTTGGAATTTGCAGGAATTCCACAATTTGGAAGGGCAGACAGGGATATTGTGTCCTTCTGCTTCCTCAGATACCCCCGGAAACCTGCAGCCCTGAGCTGGGTGGAAATAGCATATTTGCTTTCCCAGTCTGTGTTCCTTCCAATGGACCCAAAGATGTCTACAGACCCAGCAGGACATTTACAAATGCCTTTGCAGTATCCATACTGGTGGCTTTATGCAAGCAGCACAACAAGGAATTATTTTATACAGGGAACAGACTGGTGGCTTTAAGAAGGAGCCAACAATAAACTGAGCCCAGCAATCTTCACCCATAAGTTTGCCTCGGATCCACCGACCCTTTCTGCATCATCAGTAGCTGCACTTTACATCTTGTTGCCATGAGGTGGTGTGACCACCTGCCTGACCGTAAGCTGGTTGTAGAGAGACAGTGATCGGTCTCTGCTCCCAAGTCACAGGTGATGGGACAAGAGGAAACGGCCTCAAGTTGCACCAGGGGAGGTTCAGATTGGAGATGAGGAACAATTTTTCCACGGAAAGGGTTCTTAAGCCTTGGAATGGGCTGCCCAGGGCAGGGGTTGAGGCCCCATCCCTGGAGGGATTTCAAAGCCGGGTTGCCATAGTGCTTAGAGCCATGGGTTAGTGATGGTTTTATCAGAGTGAGGTTGGTGGTTGGGCTGGATGATCTGAAAGGTCCCTTCCAACCCAGACAATTCTGTGATTCTCTGATGCTAAGCCACCCTTTGCTATTGATCCTTGACCCTTGGCAGAGAAGGAATAACTACTGTTTTGGCCTCTTCTTCTTACACTTATGGTAAGTGGAAGGGCACAGTTATTTTGCCTGGCTGCAAACTCAATTTTGTAATTAAGTTTCTTAGGAACAGCACACTCTCTGAGACATATATCTAACAAAACATCACTTCCTTAAAAAAGAGAAATCTCTGCTCACCAAAGTTTCTGTTAAATCGACGTGAAACACGATTAGCCATTCAAGTCGTCCATACCAACATGAACATTTCAGTTATTTCACACATTAAACCCTTTTAAAAATTACTTTCCTCATAAAAAATGTTAAACAGCTTGGAAATGCTAAACAGAGACCTTATTTTTCAGAAACAGAACAAAGTTTGTTAAGTACACAGTTAAGCTGCATTTTTCAAACAACCTTAATTCTGTCCAAAGTACTGGGAAAACAGTCTGAGCCAATTTTACTCTATATTAGTAAGGGGTGCTCATGATCTAAAACTACCTTTAATTCTGGTCGTTCTTTGGGACAGTGCTAGGAGGACAGAGATAAGATGCCTCATGATTTTGAAGTAGCTTTATTGTTTTATTTACTCGAGGGGGAGAGCCAGAGAGAGAATGAAGGAGTAAAAATGAAACCACAATACTGAACGCTGGAGAATTTCAGAAAGCTAAAAGATACTTACAGAGTTTGGGGTTCTTTTTTTTTTTGATTATGTGACTTAATTTGAAATTTTAGGTTCATCACTCCTTCCTAGGCAGTTTCTTACCCTACCCTTACCCATTCTGCTCATTAGAAACCTGCCTATACTCAGGACATCCTGCACAGACTGCAGAGCCTGCGCCAGCTTAATTCCCTGCCATTAATTTTCTCCCTTAGAGCTATATTCACTACGACATTACCAGCTTGCAAATATGCAAATTGATGCCCATACATTATTTAAGCACACAGGTCCCACAACTATTCAGATACTCAGATGTGATTCCTATCTGTTCTGCGTCCCGAGAAAGTAAAATTAGCTGCTTCCTGGGGAACTGAAAAGACCACTAACAAATAAGGGATGGCTAGGAAATTTCGAGTGCCTCTGAAAATGTTTATAATATTTGCCCAAAATTTTCAGAAAAAGGCCTGCAGGATGAAATTAAGCAAGTGCAAATGAGACATCTTGGCTTGCTTTGATGGAGCTTTGTGGAGAAAGACCTAGAAAAATTGTGTATGGAACTCTATGTATACTTCAAAAGTGGGGAAACCAATGCACTTTCAAAATACTCTCTGTTTTTCTGAAACAGAACAGCTCCAGGAGTTATAATGCTGCTCTAAGTACACAAGATTATTGCCATCGGACAACTAAAAACTAACATAAAGCAGGTACTTAGCATAACTAAGATTTTTTTTTTAATGCTACAACAGCTATTTGATTACTGGGCACAATGAGCTTAAAGCTCGAGTGAGTCTACGTATTTAACTTCATAGCAAAACTCCTGCAGTGCCTTTATGTTTTGTACAATTCACAGTTAAACATGCTTTTTGCCATCTTTAAACCCTAGAACTTGAAATTTCACGTTGAGAAATCCCTTCTGAAGAATGAGAATTTCAACAAATTGTCGTTCTCCAAAGGTATGAACAGAACAAGCATTTGGCAAGAAACTCCTCTCTTCAACTAGCAATTCAGAGACACCACCTGTACTGCTTCTTGCTCAGGTCCATCTGAAACCAGGGAACTGTGCCACGGGAATGCTGATCTATTAACCCTCTATCTCTTCATCTACACAGGTATGACCTACTGGTCTGAAAAAAACCCCAGAGAGCCAGGAATTTCTGGCCGGTTCTGAAACTCTGTTGTTGTATATATTTGATCTCCCACTGCCTCAGTTTTCCTGCCTGTAAGACCAGGCCAATATAAAACTGCAGGTACACTATTTTATCACAGAATCATAGAATGGTCAGAGTTGGAAGGGACCTTAAAGATCATCCAGTTCCAACCCCCTGCCCTGGGCAGGGACACCTCCCACCAGACCAGGTTGCTCCAAGCCCCATCCAGCCTGGCCTTGAACCCCTCCAGGGATGGGGCAGCCACAGCTTCTCTGGGCAACCTGGGCCAGGCTCTCACCGCTCTCATAGTGAAAAATTTTTTCCCAATATCTGATCTAAATCTCCCCTCTTTCAGTTTAAAACCGTTACCCCTTGTCCTGTCACTCCCCTCCCTGACCAGGAGTCCCTCCCCATCTCTCCTGGAGCCCCTTCAGGTACTGGAAGGCCATTATAAGGTCTCCCCGGAGTCTTCTCTTCTCCAGGATGAACACCCCCAGCTCTCTCAGTCTGTCTTCACAGCAGAGGGGCTCCAGCCCTCGGAGCATCTTCATGGCCCTCTGCTGGACCTGTTCCCACAGGTCCATGTCCTTCCTGTGCTGAGGACTTTACGTGTGCATTCTGCAAGATCCACCACCAGCCACAGCCCAGAACAGCTGGGATAATATTCTCGCACTACAGAGGTGCAAAAAATAGAACATTTCCATCCTTTAATCTTATGTCCTCCATTAGCAGTAAACACATAATCAAAGTGATGGCTTCAGGAAGGAATTTTACTATGAAACAGAGACACAAAAAGAATCTAAGAAAAGGGGAAACCTCAGCTGAGCAACCAAAAAGAGTAGTAGTTCTAATTTTAAAAATAATAACGGGATGACGTTCAACAAGGCCAAGTGCTGGGCCCTCCAATTGGGTCACACCAACCCCTGCAGCGCTCCAGGCTGGGGGCAGAGTGGCTGGAGCTGCCTGGCAGAAAAGGACCTGGGGGTGTTGGGCGCCTGTCGGCTGAACAGGAGCCAGCAGTGTGCCCAGGTGGCCAAGAAGGCCACCAGCATCCTGGCCTGGGTCAGGAACAGCGTGGGGAGGAGGACTCGGGAGGTGATGGTCCCCCTGTCCTGGGCACTGGTGAGGCCCCACCTCGAGGGCTGGGTCCAGTTTTGGGCCCCTCCCCACAAAAAAAGACCTTGAGGGGCTGGAGTGGGTCCAGAGAAGGGCAATGGAGCTGGGGAGGGGTCTGGAGAAGAAGTCTGATGAGGAGAGGCTGAGGGAGCTGGGGGGTTCAGCCTGGAGAAAAGGAGGCTGAGGGGAGACCTTCTGGCTCTCTCCAACTCCCCGAAAGGAGGGTGTAGCCAGGGGGGGTCGGTCTCTGCTCCCAAGTCACAGGCCATGGGACAAGAGGAAACGGCCTCAAGTTGCACCAGGGGAGGTTCAGATTGGAGATTGGGAACAATTTTTCCACGGAAAGGGTTCTTATGCCTTGGAATGGGCTGCCCAGGGAGGTGGTTGAGGCACCATCCCTGGAGGTGTTCAAAAGAGGGGTTGATGTAGTGCTGGGAGATATGGTTTAGTGATGGTGTTGCTTTTTGTTTGTTGTGTGGGTGTATATTTTTGTCAAAATTAGGTTGGACAAGATGATCTTTAAGGTCCCTTCCAACCTAGAAGATTCTGTGATTCTGTTATCCATGCGTCGTTGTGGGCATTATGACTACAACTACCTGCCCTGTGGCTTGTGATGACTGTCCTTACAATAGATACATGAGCTACCATTTACTCCTCACCAAACCTTGTTGGTATTAGATCACATGAGAGACAGCAGGAATACAAACCAATAGATTACCACGTTTCATACGGGTACAGAGCTTTTCTTTCAAAAGCTATCATCTACTTTGCTAACTGACCCTAGGAAAACACCTCTCCAGCAGGGTAGGCCAAAGAGGAATTAATTTTCTGAAAGACAGGAGAGAGGAGGAAGGTCCCTCCACCTGCAGGAATACCTGGCAGCGCGGTGATGAAGTCCCGCTGTAACATGGGTTTGAGGTATGAGTTGATATGCCCGTGCTGGTAGTGACACATCTGGGAGATGAGGTGCTCCACAAACTCCACCTGGTCAGACTCGGACCACTGTTCAAAATACTTGACGCAGAGCTCCTTCTCCTTCTCATAGCTCGCAGAGAGTTTTCTTTGCTTGGGCACAATCATGCTGGAAGTGCCATTGGCAAGTTTCGTCTGTAGAGAGGAAGGAGAGAAAAACTCAAGTCATACATATGAAAAGAAGCTCAAGTTTTATGATTTTTCTGGGGGGAAAAAAGCAATCTGACTCATCGTGTTGGCCAAGGCCATGTATCCCGTTGGGTGGTGTCAGTGGGAGAGCAACCACCATCCACTGTGACCCCAGCAGGACAACGCATCGGCTCCTGCCAGAGCTGCAGACAAAGGACTCTGGTGAGATGGGACACCACGAGTGGCAATTTAACACAAACCCAGTTTTATTTACATCTTGCAGACAGTAAAACGCATTTGGATTCCTAATCTACAGTTACCAGTAACTTCAATGAACTGACAGAAAACCACATCTATATTCTGGTTTTGTGGGGTTTTTTTTCCTAAAGAATGGGCTGCTGCTAAAATTCATAGGAAATATATTAAATGGATGAGAAAAAAAAATTGACAGTACTTCTTCGGAGTATAAAATTGTACCTTGAGAGCAAAGTCAGCTAGAACACACCCTGATATTTGGTAAATACTTCTTTCCCAGAGTAAGAGATTTTCAGCTTTCGGAGCTGTTAATATCTTGTCAGAAGGACTCAGCTCAAAGAAGAGTTTCAGGGACAAAACAAAACACTGACATTTCAATTTACTACTTGATAGCGAGATATAATTTCTGCTTTCTAAACAATTTAACTGAAGAAAAAAAGTGCACATTTTGCATTGCAAGGCTATCTTTTGTCCAAGTAAAATTAACTGTTTGCTGGGAAATTACTTATTTTTTCCCACAGTGGTCAAATAGTTTGTATTAAATGCTGAAAACATGGGATTTTTTCTCTTTCGTTGCAATAGTTTAACACCAGACAGCTTTAGAACAACAGTCAGTATTATCACATCATTTTTATTTACAAAATACATTTAGAGGTGCTCTATTAATTATCGAGTAATTAGAAAAAAATTACACATATAAAAATATATAAAACATGGATGTAAGGTTACCACATCTCTTTCCTACAAGGATAAATTCAGGCATTAACCTCACCAGGAAACTTTATGGACTCTAAGCAAAGAAACTAACACCTAAATCTCTCTGCAAAGATATCTCTAATGATCTAAAAGAAATCCATGCATTAATTGATTTTACAGGAAAAGAAAAAAAAAAAAAGGTGCCTTTGTACAGCAGGTGCCAAAACAGTGGGTTATTCAGACACCACAAAATCTAGTTACCAAAACTGGGTTTAGAACGCAGGAATTCCTTATTTCTCAGGAGGAAATAATTCCTGTATTTCAATAGACTCCCCAACCCTGACAGCAATCCAGAGTCCGAAACACCAAAACCCTCACAATTTGAAAATATACCCAACTAATCACCATTTACTTTTCATTTTCTAAAGAAAATCCACCTAAATACTCTTTTCAGCATTTCCAGCAGAGATGGACAGAGTGTAGAAAAAGACAGTAATTAGCTGTCATTTCTAGCAAGTAGTTTCTTCTATTTCTAAATTATGGTTTGACTTCAGTTTCTCTGAGAACACAGAACGTGGAGATCAGGGCTCAATTCTGTAGCTCGGTGTCTTCAACCCTGCTTTGATCCCCCCTCCTCCCTGTAGGTTGCTCTGTGTGTCCAGTAAAATTGTGTGAGACAAGGGCTGTGACCGAGCTACGATACTTCACTGAGAATCATAGACTTGTCAGGGTTGGAAGGGACCTTTCGGATCATTTGGTCCAACCATCAACCTCACTGATAAAACCCATCACTAACCCATGGCTCTAAGCACTATGGCAACCCGGCTTTGAAATCCCTCCAGGGATGGGGCCTCAACCCCTGCCCTGGGCAGCCCATTCCAAGGCATAAGAACCCTTTCCGTGGAAAAATTGTTCCCAATCTCCAATCTGAACCTCCCCTGGTGCAACTTGAGGCCGTTTCCTCTTGTCCCATGGCCTGTGAGTTGGGAGCAGAGACCGACCCCCCCTGGCTACACCCTCCTTTCGGGGAGTTGGAGAGAGCCAGAAGGTCTCCCCTCAGCCTCCTTTTCTCCAGGCTGAACCCCCCCAGCTCCCTCAGCCTCTCCTCATCAGACTTCTTCTCCAGACCCCTCCCCAGCTCCCTTGCCCTTCTCTGGACCCGCTCCAGCCCCTCAATGTCTTTTTTGTGGGGAGGGGCCCAAAACTGGACCCAGCCCTCGAGGTGGGGCCTCCCCAGTGCCCAGGACAGGGGAACCATCACCTCCCGAGTCCTCCTCCCCACGCTGTTCCTGACACAGCCCAGGATGCTGGTGGCCTTCTTGGCCACCTGGGCACACTGCTGGCTCCTGTTCAGCCGACAGGCGCCCAACACCCCCAGGTCCTTTTCTGCCAGGCAGCTCCAGCCACTCTGCCCCCAGCCTGGAGCGCTGCAGGGGGTTGGTGTGACCCCAGGGCTGGTGGACCTGACACTTGGCCTTCTTGAACCACATGTTGTTTGTATGGTTGGACTCAATGATATCAAAGGTCCCAACCATGAAGATTCTGTGATCCCACTGGCTTCACCCATCGATCCAGCCTCTCCATATCCCTCTGCAAAGCCTCTCTACCCTCCAGCACATCAACACTCCCACCTCACTTGGTGTCATCTGTGAACTCACTGAGGGAGCACTCAATCCCCTCGTCCAGATCATTGATAAAGACGTTAAAGAGAACTGGCCCCAACACCAAGCTCTGGGGAACACCACTAGTGACCAGCCACCAACTGGATTTAACTCCATTCCCCACCACTCTCTGGGCCTGGCCTCCAGCTGGTTTTTAACCCAGCGGAGAGAAGCCATGGCACGGACAGCACTGACCTCAGGTGAATCACAGACCCCGTCACTGGGCTGAAGGGAAGAAATACTTGCTCAGACCAACATTTTATATAGAGAAACCTCTAAAGGGACAAGGTGTGAAAGGCTGGAGTTATTCTAGCAAAGTCCACCGTAGGCAACAGCCGGGCAAAAAAATAATTACCAACGGACTACACTGAACATCGGTCTTAAGGGATTCTGGTCATTTTTGCTGCAGTGAAGCTGCCTGCAAAACAGACACCCCTGTAAAAATGCTGGATTAAGACCGCGGAGGGATGCTGTATCCTACAAGCTTGATCTCATTTCATTTCTCATTTTGTTTGCTGTGCTTTGTCTCTACAAAGCATTTTTTAAAATTCTTTTCTTCTGCCTTTTAATTTCAGAGATTGTGAAGTCTGACTAACACGCTGAGCTGGAGCAGAACAGACAGCCCATGTGCGGAGACCATAAACAGGACAACTCCTTTCATGGGGTGCCACCACGTTCCGGCCCTTCCCTGCCTCCTGAACCCCTTCCTCCCAGCAGCCTTCAGCTCCCCAATTACCTCTAAAACATGGGTTCGGGGTATCAAACAGAAGCTGCAGCATCTGCAAAAACAAGTAATGGCTTTTGTGTGTTCAAACAGATGGCTTCGATGGGACAAAGCAACCCATTTTGCACGGATCCCAAGTGAATAGAGGCCTCTTGGGTGAGAATAATGAGTAAATTAAAGAGTCCATTGACCGACACTTGTAACAGCTCTGGATGTCAAACTCCACATTTATATACTGGGTCTGCTAAGAAAAGCACTCTACGTGTTTCAGTGTTTATGTCTGAATTCGTGGACAGGGGAACATGATATTATTTAGGTTCATGTGCATACTTTGGCCGCATTCTGACAATGTCAACTCTAGACCTGGTTTGCACCCGTCTCTGCTCTGGTTTCCCATCAAAAGGAGCGAGGACAAGCCCAGAGGTAGCCATAGTGTGCCCAGCAGGTCCCAGGGTCTCCGCAAGCAGGGGACTAGGAGGACAGGGCAAGCCACAAAGACACCACAGTTCTGCAGAGGAGAGACAGACAAATTCACAGGGCTCCCAAACCATAGAATCATAGAATCATTCAGGTTGGAAGAGACCTTTGGGATCACCAAGTCCAACCATCTCCCCTACTCTACAAAGTCCTCCCCTACACCATATCCCTCAGTACCACATCTAAAAATCCCTTAAACACATCCAGGGATGGTTACTCAACCACCTCCCTGGGCAGCCTATTCCAATGCCCGACCATCCAGTTGGATGCTCACACACCTCCCCCAGACTGGCCCCAGAACAAAATTCCAGAACTTCAATTTGAAGATTACTTTAGTTGTTCAGTAAAACAGGCCTGTTATTTAAAAAACCAACAACAAAACAACATCAAGCATCTGTGTTATTAAAGTGTTGGAGGGGAGGGCAATTGCTATCAGTAAGAGAATCAATTTGGCTTCCCAAGAAACCCTGATGACTCAACCACCCTGATCAGTTGCCTCAAGTTCACAACAAACCATCTCAGAACAACATCAGCAACTATTTCCTGGAGCACATAATCATCTACAACCTCTTCTCTCTCTCTCCTGGCCTCACCTGAAAAAGAAAGAACTGTCCCACCTGCCATTCAAAGAATTGTTAGAGTTGGAAGTGACCTTAAAGATCATCGAGTTCCAACCCCCTGCCCTGGGCAGGGACACCTCCCACCAGACCAGGTTGCTCCAAGCCCCATCCAGCCTGGCCTTGAACCCCTCCAGGGATGGGGCAGCCACAGCTTCTCTGGGCAACCTGGGCCAGGCTCTCACCACCCTCACAGCAAAGAATTTCTTTCTAGTATCTGATCTAAATCTCCCCTATTCCAATTTAAAACCATTACCCTTTGTCCTATGGCTCCATTCCCTGACCAAGAGTCCCTCCCCATCTCTCCTGGAGCCCCTTCAGGTACTGGAAGGCCGTTATAAGGTCTCCCCGGAGCCTCCTCTTCTCCAGGCTGAACACCCCCAACTCTCTGCCAGGGTAAATATCCATCCACACACACTGTACACAGTCATGCTTCTTATAAGCTTCACTTCCAAAAGTGGCAAAGAAGAAAAAGTGCTGATAGTCCAGAGGAAGCTTGAGTGCACAAGAGCAAACCACTAACTCGGAAAAGATAAAGCTCTTCTGACTCCCATCTCACAAACCCCTGTAGGTGAG